GTGGGATCTTCCCGAAACGGGGCACGAACCCGCGTCTCCTGCATCGGCAGGCGGACTCTCAAGCACTGCGCCACCAGGGAAGCCCCATCTCTCGCTTCTTGATGGGACTTAGTCAATGGGGCTCCCCACCCAGCCCCCAAACTGGGCTTTCCCCACATTCTGGAGCCGAGTGACCCTCCTTTCACAGATTTTTCTCTAGCCCAAGAAAAGTGTGAAAAAAGCATGTGACTGGCAAAGCTAAGAGCGTCCTATGTTTCTGACCCCTAACACAGCCTTTTTTGACCAAGGGGCATGGGGTCTTATCTTGGTAGAGGGCTCCACTTTGGCACAGAGCCCTTCAGCACGACATCTAGTACCTTACAGTATAGGCCACACTGAGTTCCACCCGAGTGACAGTCCTCCCCCAAGGAGCACTTTGGAAGAACCCCTCTGCAGCAGGCTCACAGCCCCAAATGGCCTGAGATTAGACAGAGGCATGGTTCTCAGGTGCAGCTCTCCAAGGGAAGACGCACTTTCCTCCCAACACCTGGAGTCCTAGAGACGGCAGCCGGTAGGGATGTACATACTCTCTTCCATGCGCAAAGGCTGCTGGGCCCAACAGCCCTCAGGAGTAGGTGAGATGTGCTCACCTCGGTAGCGATAGAGTGCATTCCAGAGAAACTGTGCAGCCACCAGGGGCCGTTCGATGAATATGGTCTCCCCCTTCTGGAACAGCTGTGTGGCAAACAACCCCTTTCCCTAAGAGGGCAGAGAAGAATAGGATGGCCATAAGAAGAGACAGAGGACATAGCTTCAAGGGCTCCTCACCCCCACGTGCTTCCCTCTCGTCAGAGGCCTCTGCCTCAGGAGGGTTCATGGAGCATGGTCGGTACCCTCCATAACTGCCTCCTCTGGAAATGCAGCTCTGCCCAGTTTCAGTCGCACTTCTACCAGCCTGTCCAGAGCAGAGGGCCTGGGATGGGAAGACAGCCACCACATCAGCCATGTCAGACTAATCAGAGGAGACTTTTTAGGATGGCCAGAGCAGGGCCAAGGTTCACAGCAGGCTGGAGCCTCCAGTACCAGGAACTGGTACAGGGCGGCCTTCTCTGAGTCACCCACATGCCCCTCCAGGATCCTGGTCGTGATGCTGCTCCTCAGGGCTGCAGAGAAATCCTACACCACGGGAGGGAGAGGCCTATGCAGGAGAATATGCCCTTCTTCCCTGGTCAGCTGGGTACTCACAGCATCTAGCATACATAGTACCTGGTATCCAACAAGTTCTCAGGTGTTACACTGAAAGGAATGACTAATCCTAGCACCAGTCCTAATGCTAACTTGCTGTGAAACTTTGAGCCAGTTGCTTCACTGTTTTGCATCTGTTTACCATGTGAAAAGTGGGTATTATAATAATACCTACCAGGTAGTTTCCAGGATGCAGTGATATAGCACAGGTGAAGGAATTTCATGAACTCTAGCTCCTTACTACTCAAAGTGAAGTGATGGACTGGGCAGCATGGGTATTGCCTGGGAGATGTTAGAAATGCAGAATCTCAGGCCCCACTCCACACCTGCTGAATCAAAATCTGCATTGTTAAAATCAGCTGCAGATGCCCAGGCAATTCATATGCACATTAAATGAGAAATACTGGTCTAAAGCACTGTGGATATGTACAGGATGAAGGATGAGAAAACTGTTGAATTGCCATCTCTCAAATGTGCAAAGGGACGCAGGAGACAGCTTCAGAACCTAGGCAGTTACTGGCCCAGCTGGGCACTTTCTCCCACTATACAGAGTGGTGCCCCTGCCAACAGTGAACTGTCATGAAAAGAGAGAGAAAGGAAATGATTGACACAGCAGTGAAATGTCCTGTCACGTTGCCTCCTGGGTAGCTCCCGGTTTCCTTCTAGCACTGGCACTCTGGATAGACAGGGGCACCTCCCAAAATCAGAGCAGCAGGATGTAAAGACCTGGACAGGCCCTGAGCACCCCGTGAGCCACACATCTCAATCCTGTGAATAACTCTGGGAGCTCTAATATGGTACAGTGGGGCAGCTGGAACAAAACCACTGGCAAAGCCATGGATGCAGCCTGGTTGTCTTTCTATAAGCCCACCTCCATGCCTAGTAGCCCCTGGGACCCACCCAGCAAAATGAAAACCTGGCCTTCCTCTGTGGGACAACAAGATATGAACAGCTATCCACATTACTTCTGACAATCTCAAATCTCAATATTGAATAAATATTGATCTCTTTCTCCCTCCTTCTGGAGGACCAAATGTAGGAAATATTTAGTAAAGCAAAGGGAAGAATCAGAGCTGTTCCTCTATGAAACCACTTATCCCCCAAACATATAAAGTATTTCAAGAAAAACAACTCTAATTCATATTACCAAGAAGACTGGAGAGAATGGAACCTGAATGGAAAGGGTACAAACTATGCAAAGTTTATCTCCAATTTGAAAAGTTCAAGTTTAAAAAAAAAAAGATTGTACCAAAAAATCTAAGACTATGTAGTAAATTAATTCTTTATTAAATTATTTTCTAGACAAATATCAAGTGCCAAAAGTGAATTCAAAAGGAAGAAAGCCAAGACAGACTTGCAATGCCAATACCTGCCTGATGTGCATTAGTACAGCATCCCGGTTGACATCTACCATATTTGGTCAGGTTTCTGTTTTGACTGGTCATGTCCCTGGCATAGCAATTGGTAAAATTTTGGAAATCATTCCTGCGAATATCCACAGAGGCAATAGAGAAAGTGGTCAAAAACTACCCCCATGTGAGACCCCTAGTCTATATGGTTTCATGAGCGAGCTCTCTCAAACCAAATAAGTAATTGTGCTATTTAAATTATTCAATAACAGAGAAAAAATGGAAAGCTTCTCTATTAAAAAACAAACAAGCATAATTTTGATGTGGTAACCTAAGGAAGATACCATAAAGGAAAAAAAAAATCACAAACTAATCTCACTTGATGAATGTAGAGGCAAAAAGCCCAGGATAAGCCATCTTGTCACCAGGTCTGGGTATGGTGATTCTTCTGCAGCAGCAGATCAGTTGTAGGCATGAAGAGAGAAGCCAGCTCATTCTTCCAGAGCTGGAGTTTTGATAGAAGGCTAGGACAGGACAGTTGGGCAAGGAAAGTGGCTGAAGTGATGAAGTAAGAGGGAAGAAGTAAAACAAGGAGGGGCCTGAGAGATAGGGGTGAAGTGAAAGTAAAGGTGAATATCTCTGCAGGCTAGGAGCGACGGAACTGAGACACCATCAAACTGTGAGCCAATGAAGAGCACTGGAGGCCTTGGGGTGGAGATGGAGTTGTGGGCAGCTGAGGAGGCCAAGGATATGGGAGCTGATTTACCACGGGAAGAGAGGAACGCTCCAGATGCCTCTGGAGTGAAAAGAGGACAATGGAAGGTTGGGTTCGGAAACTGGATGAGTAGGATGATGTTGAGAGCAGGAGACAGATGACTAGAAGGCTGACATCTAGGGCAAAGACCAAGGATACACACAGCCACTACACATGACAAACTGTTCAACCTCATTAGTAAACAAATATAAATGAGAGCAAAGCGATATCATTTTGCACAAATCAACCAGCAAAGATATCCAAGAAAGAAAATAATCAGTGCTGGTGAGAACAAAAGGATGTGTGCACAGACAATGAGCTCCAATATCTTTGACCTCAGGGATAAAAAACAAGATACAACATAAGGGTCCATAAATGAGCAGTTGTTGAGTGAACAGTGGTCCTCCCATGAAACAGACTATTACTCAACTCTTAAAAATTAATACGTAGCATTATTGATATTGAAATATTTACTGCTGCATCAAAAAGTAGTTTCTAAAAATAGTTTTAATATGCACATATTTGCACAAATATAGATTCTGAGTGTTTTACCTTCTCTTTTCTTACATGCGCTTTTTTTTCTACAATGAACTTCTAAAACACGATAATAAAACAACAAAATGTCACCCTCTTGATTTAAACCCTTCAGTGCTACTACGGGCTTCGGTCCAAACTCCTTAACACTCCAAGCCCCTTCGTGAAGCGTCCTGGCCTTTTCCCTCAACCCCCGCCCAAATCTCACTCAGAAAGTTCCCTGAGGACCCAGGCCTTTTTGTACTGCAGCTCCCCCTGCCCAGCACTTCCCGCCCACAGCTCCCAGGACCCAGCAGTAATGTCCCCCGGCCTGGCGCTCCCCGGCCCCACTGGCGGAAAGGCCCGGTTCCACGGGGGCAGGTGACGCGCACGGAAACTCAGCGGGCTCGGGCCCACCGCATGACCGCCCCGGAACCCTGCGCGCGGGGACAGGTAGCCCCCGGGCCCCGAGCCGGGAACGGGCCGCAGCGCCCGAGCGGCAGAGGAGCCTCTAGATTCCAGGCATGGGGTCCGGTGGGGCTGTCTCCAAGGCCGGGCCGGGTTGGGGGACGCCGGCACGGTCCGCCGCGGCCTCACCTTGGCGCTGCTCACGAAGCGGACTTCCACGGCTACCTGGGCTCGGCCCGCCACGCCCACGCAGAAGGAGAACACGTCGCACATGGAGGCCGCCATCTTGGGCGTACCTCCGACTGCTGACCCTTGACCCCGCCTCGACCGGAGAGGCCCCGCCCCTCACTGGCCCCGACCCCAGCGTGAGTGTCCCCGAGGCTGCGAGGGTTTGCGCGCTAGCCGGTCTTAATTTGGATCTTTTTGGTTTATGTATCTGTACGTTAAGTAGTTCGTTTACTGGGTGTAGCTGGGCCTGCCTTTGCGCAGTTTTGCCTCTGTCTCTATCTTCGTGGCTAGTACCAGAGCTTGTGTGTGCGTGTAGTTTTGATCTGTGTACCTGTATCCGAGTTCACGTTTGTGTCTGTTGTCCCTGCCACCCAGTGGTCCGTCTTGAGTAAAGCGCTCTCTGGACCTTGTCATGGGGTGGGACAGCAACGGGCTGACTTACTGCTATCCTCGCTGGCCCTCAACCTGAAGGGAAGAACTAGCTTACCCCACCTATCCATCCTACAAAGTCCGGCGCAAGATTTCCTATTTCCGTAGGCAGTCTGGCAGCGGGACAGACTGTCCTACGAAAGATCAAGCTGGACATGTGTCTTCCTCAGACTCTTCAGGGTGTAGGGACCTTGTAGCCTGGGGGTGCTGGAGGGTCTAAGAACCCGTGAAATTGTATGTAGAAGTGAGTCTGCAGATTCTCATTGTCCTGACAACAGGAGAGGGACCTATTCTCTTGTTCAGGACTGACCTGAACATTTGTCCCCACAGCCAGGCCTGACCACCATGTCTCAGTTTGTTCCCTCGTCCTCCAATTGATTCTGTGCTACTTAAAAAGGAACCTGTGTCTGCATCTGCTGCGGTCTCATGGTGACATTTAGGGATTTGATAGAGCCCAGTAACTGCTGAATAGGTCACTGCTGGTGATTTAAAAAAAAAAAAAAGTGAGCCGATGGTTCCTGGAAGAGGCAGATGTAGCTGTGTTCCTTTAATAGAGCTGACTGGGTCCAGCATTAGGAAGGATTTCCCGGAAGACAGGAACAGGAGGGTTCTTGAAGCTGGACCCTGGCCTCCCTCCAGCTGCAGCTTGGTCCTAGAGACGATGGTCAACTGCCTTGGCGGCAGGTGGTTTTCCAAGGCCACCCCTGCTCCCTGCTTTTCCTCCCTCCCTCAGAAAACTCTGGAGAGCAGTGTGGACCATGCCCTCTCTCACCACCAGGTGGCAGGGCAGTCCTCCTTCCACCAGTTCATCTCAACACCCAGAAGTCATTCTGTATTCTAAATGAATACCCTCAACGGAAGCCCGCCAGGGAATGTGGAGTGCTAGAGAAATTAGCTCTGGAAATATTGGTGGCAGGCTTCACAAGAGTAGGCTGTCGGCTACGCTTCCTGGAAAGAAACTGAGTAGATTCCTGGGAAGGAATGAGCCATGAGAACTGGTTATGAAGCAGGGGAATGATAATACAGCAGAGTTTATGACAAAATGCCAGTTTTGGCAAGGGCAGAGTTAAATCTCTCTGTATGAAGATGGATAGGGGGTCAAGTCAAGTAGCTAGACGGAAAAAGATGGTGTTCAGGGTAGCATGTCTGCTCCAAGGAGGCAGCTGGGCCTGAGCTCCTTCTGAGAGTGTTAACAGTTCAGACAAAATAAGAAAACTTTGGTAAATTCTGTGAGAGGAAATGGGCTAAATGGTCTGCCCTTCCTTCTTTGCTCTCAACTCCACCATCTCCAATGGGGAAGAGTCTTCTAGGCCCATATACTGATTCAAGGAGGACTTCTCTTGTCTACAGCCAGGCTAGGCAAAGATTAACCCCTGGAGAAGCCAGGGGTGAGGTATTACTCCCACAGATGAAGGGGACCTATAAGCCTTAATAGTTACTGCACACTTACTACTGAGCCTGGCACACTATAAGTGTTTTACAGACATCATCTCAGCCCTGGGAGGTCTACGTTATCAACATACCCATTATACAGGTGGGGAAAAAAACTTCAGAAGTTCGGTAACTTAGCCAAGGACACAGCTGAAGGCCGAAGTCTGTACCCATGACCATTTGCATTATTACAGCTCCCAGGGGTAGATATAGAAAAGGGGGGCCCCTGCTAGACAGTTCAGATTCCCCTGATGCCCTTTGACCTGACAAGCTCTTAAGAATTGGAACAGGGAGGTCCAGTTGGTGCCCCCAGGAAAAACTAGCCCAAACAGCTTGGGTTGAGCCTCTGTCCCAGTCCTCAGCTGTCCACTCCTGACTCTGCGTCTTCTCTCTGGATGGTGGTGTTGGAGCTGCTGGAGGGCTCATCTGGGGAGGCAGCCATGGCAGATGCAGCTGGCAGTCTCAGCCTTTGCTGCTTCTGATACTTAACCCTGCGGTTTTGGAACCAGACCCTCACCTGTAATTGAGGCAGTGAGAAGAGATCAGAATGTGACCAGCAGTTCCCACTGCTTCCCCCATTCCCACAGTCCCCACTCCTCTCTGGTCAAAATTTATTCTTCATTCCACTCATTCACTCAGCAAATATTTATTGAGCTCCTGTTATGAACTAGGCATCACCCTAGGTAACGGTGATAATAGTGAGCAGTAGAGGCATGATCTCTGCCCTCATGGAGCTCATAGTCCAGTGGAGGGAGACAAATAACAAACATGGAAACAAATGTATAAACACAAATGGGGGTATGAACAGGGGTTTGAACCTCCCTGAAGAACCAGCACTTAAGCTGAGGCTCAGAGGATGAGAGGCCAGCGCGATGGGGACAGAGAAAAAAGCAAGCCAGGGCAGGGGAACCAAGCTTGGAGCATCTGAGGACCAAAAAGGAGGACAGCATGGCAGGCACATCTGAGAGGGGAAAGCAAAGGAAGGGAAACTGTGAAGGCCATGGTTTAGAAGTGTCAACTTCGAGCTTTTAAGTGGGATGCAACACAGTCCTATTTACATGTCAAGTAAACTGCACATCTGGCAGTTGTGTGAAGAATGGATATAAACAGATTTGGGGAGACAGCTGGGGAGACTATTGCAGGGATCCAGTGAGAGCTGGGGCTGCACGCTCCCTTCCCTGTGTGATGAGAAAAACAGTCCCATTTGGAACTGGGGGCAATGGAGAGAAATGAAATGATTCCAGTTGTATTTTGGAGGTAGAAGTGAAAAGGCTAGCTGATGGATTGGAAGTGGGAGAGAAAGAGGAATCTAGGATGACTAAGTGTTTTGAGCAACTGGGTGGATGGTGGTGCCATGTGTGGGAAAAGGAAGAGATATGGGGAGAAAAAAAGATCAAGAATTGAGGTTCTGACTTAAGTTTAAAATGGCTACCCACGAGACATCCAAGTGGAGGCCTCAAGAAGGTAGTTAGATGTACAAGTCAGGAAAGAGAGGTGGGCTGAAGATAAAAATTAGGGAGTCATTAGCTTACAAATAGTATTTAAAACCCATGGGGATAGATTAAATCAGCTAGGGAGGAAAATTTGAGGTCACAAAGAGAAGAGTTGCCTACAAGGGCAACAAAGAAGAAAGGACCAAAAAGCCAGGAAAAACACCAAGAGAGTGTGGTGTCTGGAAGCCAAGAGAAGAGTGTATTTCATAAGAGGAGTGGTTGACTGTACTGAGTGGTGGAGTAAGATGAGGAAAGGAAAGCATCTGCTGACTTTGGCAACATGGAGGACATTAGAGACCTTGATGAGAAGGTTCAATGAAATGGCAGGTAAAGAATTCACATTGCAATGAGTTAAGGAGTAGATGGGAGGTGAGGACATATAGAGAACATAGCCAGTTCTTGACAGGTTTGCCTCTGAAAAGAGCAGAGAGATGATGCAGTAGCCAGAGGGGAATATGAGGTCAAGGGAATGTTTATTATTTTTAATATTTAGTCCCTTGAATACCTACTTAATTTCACTGTCAGCTCCTTATTTAGCATGGAGACATTACGTTATAAAGTTCTAGATTAACACCATGTGTTGTTTCCATAATGTGATTTCAAATAGGACTGTTTTTCTCATCATATAGGGAAGGGAGTGTGCCAGTGGTTAAGGCCTGTCTCCCCCATCGGCATGGCACAGAGGATGAAGGCCTATAAATTCCTCCCAGCCCCAACTCAGGGTCTTTGAGAGAGTAGTATCTGTCCCTAGGTGCAGCCCGGGCCCCACAGGAGTCCCTGCTCTCACCTGGTTCTCTGTAAGGTTGAGCTGGGCTGCCAGCTGGGCTCTCTTCTTCCCCACTAGATTGTGCTGTTTTGCAAACACTTTCTCCAACTCTTCCAACTGCTCCAAGTTAAATATGGTTCGGACCCTCTTTTGGGATCTCTCAGTGTCCTGAAGGTCCTGAGCTTGGGCCCAGTTGCGGGAACCCCAGAGGCCTAGGCAGTGAGCCAGCTCCAAGCCTGAAGAGCAATTAGCAGGAGGAGAGGTTAGCCAGTAACCCCCTAGCTTCTCATCTTAGAGGAGAGAGAACAAGCTCACAGCTCCACTGCCCTGTCTTACCCTTGGCCAGGTAACACAGCAAGAAGGCAGGGTGGGAAGAGACTGCACAGAAGTAAAACAAATGAGAAAGAAGGGACAGTGTTGTGAGACCGCTTCGGGCTCCATTATTCTTCAGGTGAGTGGCATAATCTTTGGCCCTAAGAGGAGCTGCCAAACCTCCATCTCTCCTTTCCTTTCCTTGGCTACTTCAGGAAAACCCTATGGGATGAGCAGAGAAGAGACCTGCTTCTGAACAAAGAGTGAGGGTTCATCCTTTTTGTTCATTCAACTTTTTGAATGTCTACTATGTTTCAGGCATGGTTCCAGGACAAAACAGAAAATCCCTAACAGTAAAAAAAGGCAAATAAGTAAAATATTGAGTATGTCAGAAAAGGATTAGCACTAGTGAGAAGAATAAAGCAGGGAAGAACAGGGTTAAGTGTGTGGGAGGGGGAGGGGGGATAGTTTGTATCTTTAGAAAGGTAGGCACCTCACTAAGTTGACACTTGAACAGGGCCACTATGTATAGCTTGTGCCCTGCACACAGGTACCCAGCTGAGAGGGTAAGTGGAGTCTGAAATTCTGACCACTCTCCGCAGGCCAATTCTTCCTGCCTGACAAGGTGTTGTGCCAGCTTGAAGTTAGG